ACTTTTTAGGGTAAAAAATGGCTAGATGGGAGATTCTTACAATGGCTGTGGAGAAAACTGAAGCAGTGTTAAATACGGACCAGACTGGACGACGTAAACATTAACTGGAGACGCCAAATAACTATTTGGGAGTCGAGATCGACTCCCAAATACTCCCCACAGACTCAGCCTTGGTCCGCACATTAACAAGACTGCGTCCAAGGCAGCGAAGAACCTCTCCAGATTAATGAAAAATGTGTGTATGTGTGTGTGTGGGTTCCCAAGGAGGCGAAGCATAGAATGATCTCTTGTACAGTTCATTCTCAACTGCTGTATGCGACCGCAGCGTGGACTGATAAACGCGGTAAAGCTTGCGTGAGATCAAAGTACACGCAAGTACAAAGGAGGTTGCGCTGAGTATAGTGCCAACCTACCTACTATTGTAACTCCTGTAGCACTGTTGGCGAGAGAACAGAAAGCGATCAACGCCGAAGTGAAGCTAACTGATTCCGTTGGTGACAGACCTCGGACAAAAGAGAACACCAAGAACAGGACACGGACGTCTTTCCTGGCAGAATGGCACGAGAGAAACCAAAGAAAAGTGGATCTACGTGATGATGCGACTATAGAACCGTAGTTCAACAAAAGTGATGGGGAGGTAAATTACTACTTTTCTCAAGTGCTCTCCGGACACGGCAGCTTTAAATCTTATCTGTTTAAATTTAAAAGAGCAGTCGTCCCCGAATAGGCATTTTGTGGATATGAAGACGATGTTGCCTCGCATATAATATTAATCTGCAAGGGATACTCAGAGAAGAAAACTTAACGAAGCCATGGAAATGGATATCACCCCATCAAACATGGTGGAACTTATCAAATCAAGTAAAGACTGGAGCAACCAGGGACATTTATCTCTGACGGTGCCTAAGGCATTTTCCCCTCGCCAAAAAATTAATAATAATAATAATAATAATAATAATAATAATAATAATAATAATGAGTCGGCCTCATGGCGCACACGGTTGCGGCAGCCGTCATCTGCACCGAGGAGGCTGCAGGTTCGAGTCCTGCGTAGATATGGTCGTACTGTGATACATGTCGTACATGTGTACGTAGATATGGTCGTACACCCCTCAACATCATCCTATCATTCCATAATCAACACTTCACGAGGCGTAACAACCTTGTCGTACTGAGGGATACTGCTGAAAAGCTGATCCTGGAATAATTACATACATTAATCGTGTAGCGTGGTGAGTAATGACCTCAGAGGTGAATCAGCCAATACGCGGCTGATATGCTAGCGTGACGTTTCAAGTGAGGGAAAAATTAGGGTAGGTGTCTCAAGGCGAAGTGGTAAATAGTGTGACGCAGTAACATTCTCCGATTCCCTCGGCACGCGAGCTTTCCGCTAAAAAGTATTGATCTACGCCAACGATGTCAAGGTTACTGCCAGCAATGAGATCGGTGGAACTGATGGCACAATTAAAACTCTTGCAATGTTATCACGTCACAAGAAAACGATAATAGAAGCAACCCCAAAACGTATGTGAAATTCGTGCATTTAGGCAAGGCTACGATAAGTACATTTATTGTCAGAATATTTATTTATTTGTTTACTTTCCTTGTGCTGCATGCATCCTCTTTCTCAGAAGCATTCAACCAAGACAATAAAATGAAAGTACTAGCAGATTGAATTCCGCGTATCATTCCCATGCTTCAAGTAAGTGTTAAACATGTTACAGAAGACCAATGTGATGAATCCGGACAACTTCAAACCAGAATATAAATATTTCGTATATCTTTACAAATACGCCGCTGCAGGTTTCAAAATGGCCATTGCTAGGAAAACAGCGTGCGTACATGAAGTTGCGGACTCATTCAGTTTTTTCCACGACACTAGTTGAGGTCTCTTAAGCTGCTCAATCTGAACTGGTTACCACAATATCATTTGTCCCCACCAATACTTCTAATTCCCAACGAGCACAGAATTTCTTTCAAACTCTGCTGCCTCCGGTCATTTGATAGTTGACTCTGGTTTCATTAGAAACCCAAGAACTCGAAGGAATTCAATAATATTGAAACAGTTTCGTTTTGACAGAGAAATGCAAATATTTGATTGTGTTTTTCCACCAATCTCATAATGCACGTACCGACAGAATTATCATACTCAAAATGCCATTGCGACTGGCTCAGCTAATGTTATTCGACAGCAACGCTCCAGTGTTATATGAGAGTATTTTATTTCTTGTTCCTGAGCGGAATGCCAGCTCGCTGGAAAAACATTTTGTGTGGTACTAGAAGATTTGTTTTTGAAGAACAAATTTCTTTCAATAAAAATATCTCTATCTTCAATATTGTAATTGTAAGAAGCTTAGAACTTGAACGTTTTCGCAGTTTTTAAAAATTCAGATATTCCAACAAAAATTAGACCTGTGACCTTTTTAAGCGTCCTTTGGGCTTAATTAAAGTTTAATAAAAAAGTTGAGCTATTTGTGAGAACTTTTTGAAAATGTTAACACTTCATACGTAATTGTCGCCATACGAATATTTGGGCGCAATTACGCTCAGAAATATGTTCTGTTACAGTAAAGAAATCAAAGTTGTGACCATGTGAGTCACAAATTTATTTTAATAACTTAATTTGTTCAAAGACATTTAATTATTACTTCATGGAAAATACCGCGCTAAAAAAATATCCGTTTCAAATTCGCAGTGCCTCGTGTTCGGCCAGATTGACGGGGAATATCCATTTTGGAGAAAATCGCCTGACGGGTGTAGGCGTTAGACTTGGCCACAGATAGACGAAAAGACGTTTCACCGTAATCCAATTTTTCGGAATCAAGGACCCACAAAACTAGGAATCGGACTACACAAGGCGTTAGAAAAAGTAATTTATTACATACAGGAACAAGATTTATCTACTCTTTCGATATCTAGGTCCCACTATACGATTTTTTCTGACGACAAATAGCTACTTTTCCGAGGCAGCATTACAATACTTTCTTTTTACGTAAGCACGTAGTACGGCGAGGTAGCAAAAACATTAAGCGTTGGGTCTAGTTGAGAGATTTTCTCAGATTTGAGATACAACCAAAACATTCGCGTCTGAAGTGACACATCAATAACCCCTGTCTTCCAAGTCTGGTATCTTAATGTGCCAGATGTTCTTCCACAAGGGTAAGGCAATGACGGTTTTGTACATTCAACCTAGTGGTGCTAACAGCACATACTATCTCATATTATTTGTAACTGCTCCCCTATATTATACTACTACATAAACCTGCCAGTGTTTTCAACCAACAATTGTTTGACATGAACTCAGGTTCTCAGAGTTAACAGAGACACACTGCTCAAGGCCATACAAGGGTATCAGAAAGTCATAGTACTCTGGGCTGCGCCGAATTTTGCGTCGAGTCAGCAAGCAGTCTGACTGCAGCAAACTAGGCCATGAGGTAGTGTGTATTTTTTAAAGTTTCAAACCCAGTTTAACAACGGTTGAAAGAAAACATAAAACTCCAACTTTAGATGAAAAGATCAAACATAGAAGCAAGAGAAACTCAGAAGCTGACAATGAAGAATGTTTAATACTCATTTATTGGTGATTTCAATACACCAATAAATAACCATAAATATGTTATATGTTAATGATAATTATAATTAAGATATGTAATTCACTAGTTCCAGGATGGAAATATCAGTATTACAAGTGTCACAAAATAGACAACCCTGCATAAAACGGAAACTTCCCTAAACCAGATTTTTTGTCCCGATCGATTCCGGCTTAGACACATTTTACTGTATTAGATGTAATAAATGTATCAAATAAACAATTTCCCCCTTTATTCAAGTTTTCTTTAGGAAACGAAAATTTGTATGCAATTGACATTATATTAATGAAGAAACTAGTTTTATTCGTCTAAAAATATTACGATTACTATAGTACGGGCATCACATTAGCGACACTGACAGTTCTCTCACCACGTGCTGTGATACATCATGTGGCCTTGCTCTGAAGCAATGAGCTTGTGAGGATTTGTTTACGTTCTCACAGCTAGAGTTCAGTGATACCGTTCTTCTGACTCGCACGGAATCGTTGAGGCGATAAGTTTCGGTTGTGATGAACGTTATGAACATGATATCATGTGTCATCGCCTTTCAGTATGTGTTAAATGTTTAGAGATTTGAGAGTACGTGACCATAGAGTCACGTAGGTGGTGCCATGTGCGTAGTAATGTGAGGCAACAACGGATCGAACTGTCAGAGTCGCTTTTACGTTGCTGGTACTGCAGTTACATACACTGGTAGGCCGTGGCTGTCGCGCCAAAAGCAGACAGACAGTTACTTTCTTGAAAAACAGGATAATGATCTGTTTACGGAATCTTAAGTATAAAATATATTTACACTCCTATCTCTACATATCAGTATCACTAATAGTTGATATCTGTATCATTCCTTGTAGCAGTCAATGAATGGTAAAATAGATGCTATACTGCAGGGAAGTAGTTCAATAGATCCGTCATGTCTTTATTCTATATCTCTCATATCAATTAATTTGTTCAAAATACTTAAGTACCACACTCATAATTGGATTTTAAAGTATTCTCTCTTACATCACTGAACTGGTATGTATGACTATTGTTAGTCATTTGGAAACACTGTGATGTACAGTAAATTATCATTTAATAAATAAACTACCACCACTTTTGCTTCGAACACAATGATTATTCTGATTCTGATTATTATGAATGAAATGTACATTTCAAATGTGCTTCCACTCAGTGGTTTACACATGAACTTAGGCTCATGCCATTAGTGCATTAAAAAGTAAGAAACAAACTTTCTTTTAATAAGCTTGAATAAAAATCTCACTTACATTTTTGCTTTCAAAACATCAAATAGAAAGGATCCCCCATTACCCTATTGAGGGCCTCATTAAACCTAAATCTGACTCAGCCACACACTAAAAGGAAGCTAAATAGTTGATAGATAATTCTAACACCTAATCAACTCACATTCACCTCCATTGATGGGATGTCCTTGAGCTCCTCGATTAGGAGGATTCCCATGGTAACCATACCCATTTTGGGAGGCATATACTGGATTCTTGGCTGCGTCATCTAAAGCCAAGTCAAGTGAATGTTCCAAAGCCTTATTTTCCATTCCTGATGATGGATAATAGGGAGGAGGCGGTTGTTGTGAGACCAAACTAGGATGCACACTGTGAAAAAACAAAACAAAAAGGAATGAAATAATGCACGAAATAACATCAATTTTTTTATTGCATTAAGTTACCAGTAAGCAAATAAGAAATAGACATTTATTTTTAAATATGGAAATCACAAACACATAAATAAGTTTGTTTGTATTATTATTACTCATAATAAATGCAAAAGAAATCTGAAACTATTGGCATGATTTCGAACTGTAACTTCAGAATCCAGAATGTTAAAAGAAATTATTATCTTGAGGTGACTGGTTTACAGACGGTTGTTTATCTCACCTGTCATCTCCACACTGTCAGCTGCTTGGGCAAAAAGAAATAAAAGCAAGGTTTCACATACTACGTAAAACTACTGACTTTCTAAAAGTTGGCAAATTACATATAGATATGTTAGTAACACTGAAGGGAAAATGAGGAACCTTGGTAAAAATATAAAGAGCTGTAGAGCAGCCACAAACAAAGAGGGTAGCAGAAAACGATAGGCAAAACTGCCACCTGGGGATAAAAAAAATTGATGTTGAGTTGAAAATTAAAGTTTTGTTGGATTTAAATCAATTTATCTCGAGTACTTTGTACAAAAAGAAAAAGCCTGGTTTTTAGCTTCTTATATAAGTATGATAAGCTTTTTTTACCACATTACGCTGGTAAATACAATCTTTAATTTTCCTTTTTATTTTCTATACAAAAGAAGAAGATTTTCGAGAATTTTTTCAGGCCTTTATACCTGACTTTGACCCTTAACAAAAAGAAGAAAAAATATGATGGGTGAGTGATTAGGATTACCCTTAACATAGAAAAAAAAAACTTCATTTTTCTTCAATTAATGAGCTTTTGCGCATAGGTGGTTACTTGCTGCCTTAGAACGATGGAAACTATACAAACGTATTGTAACGTCACATCCCCCGTGACTTGATCAACTCCACCCCCGATCTGAACAGTAAAATCGTTCGACGCGGCGCGGGCTCCCGGCGTTCTGTCGAGTGTGAGGCTCCAACATCATTCCGTTGGTGTCTTTCGAAGATGCATTCGGTTTCTGTCTTTCGAAGGCGCACTTGCTTTCTGTCTTGCAAATTTACATCTCGAAGAGGGACTTGTAATCTCTTGCGTTCTAACTTAAACTCGCAATGAATTGCAGTACTGACTCCAACTAACACGAACTTGCAGTTTACTTTCGGCACTAGAATCGTGCTTAGAACTCATGAGTTCGACCTAACTTGTGCTCCGACCGGTGATTTGACTGCGATTCCGCCTGGTTCGGAAATCGAACTCCCACGTTAACGCGACGCCACAGTGTGTCCTGAGCTCGTGCCTCGTCGTCCTATGTCCGGCCTGGGTGAACGAGAGAGGGACGACTTTGCGTGTCGTTGGCCGCTGTCATCACGCATCGCCGCCACTGGCGGCTGTGACGGAGTGTGGGGCGTGCCCGCCTGCCCCCGCCGCCCGCTGTGCCAAGGGCCCTGCCGGCGCCCAGCCGTTAACGAAGAAGCTCAACGCCTTTGCACAGTTAGAATTTTGTGAACCACCCTTAATCGGGTCCCTGTCATGTCAACTATCCCGCTCAAAGACGGAGAGACTGTTCAACGAAGGAAGCTGAGAGATTAGATGCCACAAATACGGCATATTATTGTAGCGGTAAAATTTATTGCTTTTTGTTGTTTTGTTGTAATCACTTCAATTGAACTAGAAAGGCGCAATAACTAAAATCATAAATTGAAGTAATTTTGTAAATTCATTCATTTGCATGCTCATCATCATCATTTTGAAGTTTAATTAAATGTGTTGTGGAATTAGTTCTGTATGTGTTTTATTGAACATGCAATCCCGCATCCAAAGAACGTCCCAGCAGGTTACAATATATTTCATTTTTGAAGCCAATTTGTGTTTCAAATAATTCAACATTGATTATTTAATGGAGTAAATGAAGAGAAAAACAAATAGGGTGACAACTTACAAACGGATTGAAGAAACCCTCCATATTTTCAAAGCACCTAATATTCAGCAAAGTATTTGAAAATTCGTTCAAAGCAGTACACAATGAAGAAAGACCAACTTTATTTTCTGGATACAGCACAAAAGGTGCTTCAAGATCACATTTGCGTTTAAAATCAAATCCTCTCTTGACCAATATTATCAGATGCAATAACAACCACATAGCAAATTAACTTGTATGTACCATAGTGCATAAGTTTCCATCAATTACCTCCACAAAACTTTCTTCCTGGACCTTTTTTTCCATTAACAAAGAAATAGTAGGTAGATCAGCCCTAAACATTCATCCACCTGCCATCTGTCATTAAAAATATACTACGACTTATGCAACTCGGCCCTTGGCAAGTATCAGCTGTTAGCGATTTCATCCAATCAGGAGTTTGAAAGTCACCATAATGACATCATTATGATGACGTTCAAACTCTCGATTGGAGTAAACCATCAACAGTTGATTCATGCACAGAGCAGATTTGCTAATATCACTGTATAGAACATAATCTTCTATCTTCCTTCCAGAACGCAAAAATTTCAATCTCACGGATCCGCATCCGCATACGCAATCTCACGGATACGCATTTCCAGAGGCCTCAACTCAATACTTATTCCACCTAACCACATCACATAAAATGGCAGATCAGAATTGCATTCTATTTTATGTATACATGCGAAAAGTAACAAATATTTCACCTTTTTTAGACATAAAAATTGGAGATATGATATAATGTTAAAAAAAAAAAAAAAATTAAAACTTACGTTGACGTTTCCATTTCATAATCCTTGCCACTTCCTTTGTTATTTTGATTTTTCTTACAGCGACAGAAAATAAAGAGTAGACCCAAAAACAACACAAATACAACACACGACACAATTATAGCAATTAGGGTAGGCATTGCTAATGCACCAGCTTCCATTACAGATGAGGGATTCACTAAACGACAAAATAATTTCAAATCATGGTCAAAATCTGGGTTCAATAACAAAACAATATATTTATTTTCACCATTTCAGAATATTTTCACTCAATTACCATTAGTGCTTAAAATACTTACCATCAGCTACAATATAGGAACTGCAGAGATTCATTTCTGTTATAAGACATAATTTTACTCGCACTTGCAAATTCTTATTCGAGATTGATGTTTGTGGAACAATGCCATCACCTAATTCATCCAATGATCTCCCACTAGAACCAGGTGGAATACTGTTTCGGCGAACTAATGAAATTTTCTCCTTGTATGTTGAAGGCATACCAACAAGCATTTTTAGAGGTTCACCAACTGAAAACCACTCTAAATCACCATTAATTGTTTCCGCTCCAGCTTCCACCACAGCTACTAATTGCAAACAAGTGCTGGCTGTACTGATGAGGAGCATATGTGAATTTGGATTAAACAAAACCTGGCGAGGAGTAGGAATTTGATCAACTGTAGTTGTTGCTTTGATTTCATCAGAGTAATTGCTGTGGCCCTTACTGTTGAAAGCTTTCACCTGCAAAATAAAACAAAAAGGATTCTTATATTATTTGTATTAAAATAATTATTAGTTTCTATGGTATATAGATATTCTGTTGTGTCAAGTCACACATATTTGATAGTAACAGTAACATTTTATCTTTCTCTAGTAGTTGTAAAAGTATTCAGAATTACAAAGATGGTAATGCTATCAAAAGCCCATTTTGGTAATAAAAATTTTCAGGAGTGAATTCAAATTATTGACTTGTTTTATGAATAATTTGTATATTTGAAAGACAGAGTAGGGCAAACAGGAGAACTCATTGAATGTGTTAATATAAAGTTTGCAATGGAACCCCACCTTCCACATCACACAAAGATAAACTTCTGACAATGTATGAAGATGTTGCTGACTGCTTCAACATTTTTTTTACTGATGATGGGCCTACACGGTAATTACAATAGAACTTGAACCAAAATCCAGTAAATTCCTTAGTTAACTCCATATTTTTATCACAAACATCTGCAGGTCAGATATCAAATCTTTAAATGTAATATTTTTTTAAAATTTTACAGGGCATTTCAACAGCAAAAGTGATGATAAGTCAGTGAATAGGTATGGGGGAAAAGAAATTAATGAAATTGACAAAAGACTGAAAGAACTGCGAAAGCAATTTTTTAAGAGAATTATGGATGGATTCATCAATCATAAATAGGTGCATGTGTTTCCAAACAAACTAGCAGCCCTACACTATCACATACTTTCTTGCATTAATTCTAACTTAACCAATATTCAAACATTCAGAGAGTTCAATTAAAATGAGACCTGTGCCATTCTTTTAAGCTTCCCTTGTTCTTTCCATGGGAAAAATTTAACAAATATCTTAATAATACGTAATTCTTTCTCCAATGTTCTTCCTTTTTGTAATTGTGTGTGTGTGTGTGTGTGTGTGTGTGTGCCACGATGCTATTAGATTTAAGTTGTATATAGTCATGTAACTGTGGTTTCCTGCTAAATAAATAAATTATTGCAGAAAACAAATTATCATTTATGCAATTTCATGATATAATTTAAAATTTAGATTTTTGTCTTTTCTTTGCATTTACAAAGTTATCAATGACAGTAAAAATATAATCTTTAAGCACAAATTTTTTCGAGCTCAATTGATAAAATACTTAAATTACTCAGGCGGTCATGTGGTTTTGTAAAAAATTTTATTCAAATGTTCTTTTGGTACTGGCAGTCATGACAGGAAGTGTAAAAAATAATGTCAATATCATACACACATCAGGAAAACTTGTAAAAATAAGCAATGATAAATTATTAATAAGTTTGCAAGATCTGTAACAGATCTTAGTTTTGATATTCAACTCTTTAAACAAATGCGCCAAGACAATAATTGAGACAACAAGTTTTCCATAACATTTGCAGGGCATTTTGATTGAAGTTTTTGTGCTTCTTGATAAATTTCATCATCCGAAAGAGCAATCAAAACTTGTGGCTGAATCACATTGAAAATTGGCTGTCTTTTTCAATCCAGCAAATCATCACTTCTACAGTTGTCAACAATGACCAAATGGCAATATCTAAGCATACATAGTAAATATTAAGTTTCTATCTTTCTTCGCCATCAGTGAGTCATTGATCCTTGCAAAGTTCATCAAAAGGTTTCATTTTCATCACTTGTTTATCGCTAAATTTCACTTCTACTTTCCAGGTTGAATAACTCTATTGCATCATGTTTCAAATCGTCATAGTGATTCTGAACAATCTTCAATTCTTTGTAAACTCCATCGAATAAATTCTGAACCATTAGCAAATCAAATCAGAGTTTTAAAGTGTTCAGTGTTTTTTTCAAATTATTTAGCTTTTTGTCTAAATCCATCATGGTTGTAATATGTTCCATCGATTAATGCAATGACCAAAGAAAACATAAATTCATTTCAGCTAACAGTGAAATATCTGAACATCTAATATCCCATTCATGGCATCATTAAGCACAAGATTACAATTATTAGCAACACAATGCACAAACAATGCATAGTCAACTTCATCTAAATTTCTTTCCTGTACAGCAATGTAAATTCCACTCATAACTGCTGCACTATCATATCCTTAACTTCTACATTTAGATAAATCAATTCCTCAACAATATTAAAATGCAGCCCTTGTTAATTATTCTCTTTTTCCTGTTTCTCACTCATTTTAAAAACATATGTTTAAACATTTGCCATAGGCTCATGAAAGGCACAGCCATCAGCTAATTATTGCGAGCAATGGCCCAAGAGGTCGCGTTATGCAATAGGCACTAGGCGTACATACAATGACTTGTTAGAGTAACTCTCAGCAAATAATTTGTTTATTTGGTCACAAAATTTTTTTTGTGACAAGAATTCCAACTCTGAAATTTAATTTTATTCATGGGCCCCCAAACAGTCGGGGCTTCCAGATATGGTCCTATCAATCCCTATGGAACTTATGCTGTGGAGGCAAAAAACTTTACTTTAAACAAGTGTACCACACAAAGATACGAGGCTTACCACTTATGCATTTCATTCAAATGAACACAATTTCTTATGGCTCAGTGCTTGACCAAGAAAATATGAGGGAAAAGTTATCTATCTGAAGTCTTATATTTCCACTTACCTTAAACACGTAGCTTTGATGCTGTTCCAGCCCTGACACATTGCACGGGTTGTTTCTCAGGCATTCAAATTCCTGCCATTCATCGCCATTATTTCTCCTGCCAAGATTTGCGCTACTGCAATCTTCAGAGCTCTTACCACCAGCAAAGTTAGTAAGTTGCTTGTATGACACAAAAAATTTTGTATTCTGTAGTCCACCATCAAATCCAGGTTCCCATTTTACTGTGACGAAGTTAGGACCTATTGCTGGGGTGCTTATAGATAATGGACGTTCTGGAGGACCCTTACGCTGTAGTCGTATTGCAGGTTTGATGGAATCTAAACTGTTGGAAACTCGGCAATAGTAATCACCATAATCCACATCTTGGAGATTTGCTATCTTCAGAACACTGGTGTATATATCATGACCTTCACTGGTTGTATTTATTTCATAATGACCCCCGTTAGTAAGCAGAGGAGATGAGGTAGTTCCAAAGCTCCACTCAAATTCTGGTCGAGGATATGCTTGCACTCGGCAAACAACCTCTGCAGTTTCCCGAAGATCATAAGCAACTTTATTGTACTGATGAAGTTCTATGGGGCCATCTGTAAAAAGAGAAGTGTCATTAGTAAAACAACAAACAAAAGGAATATATGTAACAATCTTTTAATCAAATTTTAAAGTCTGCAAATTAAACATTATGCAATAACATCAATAAACAAATAAAAAGAAACGTATTCCCAACTGATTTTAAAATAATAATTTTAAAAGCAGATGGAAGTACATTTTAAATTATTTTATTACTACACATAATTATTATGAAAACATCACCATCAAAAATAAAAATAATAAGCACAAAAGAGAGCTTACGTTCGACAAGAAGTTGCATACTGGATTCAACTCGTTTTACTTCATTCTCAAATACACAAGAATAAACACCGCGATCACTAGGTAATAACTGATTTGCTCCTGGTCGTTTTGACCCAACAAAATGAAGAGTACTTTGTACTGTGAAAACTGCATTGTGTCCTGATTCACTTTCTTCGGTGGTAATTTCTAGGGTGTCTTGATCTGCAGTCAACTCTGTACTATCTTTTATCCACTTGATGGAAGGCTTTGGTTTCCCTTGAGCACTGCATTGTACAAAAGCACCTGGATCTCCCTTCCTGCAATGAAAAATTATTTTGTCATTGATATAACTTACTTATTGAACAATGTCTTCAAATCAATACGTCTAGTACTTCAATTTTTAAAACACCTGATAAATTTCTTATCTTAAAGACAGTTTTCATAACTGATTAAATGTCAGGAGTAATCTGGTATGGGAATCAGATCATCTATCTCTGGTAGTGTATCATGCTGAATGTGATGATCTAGCTCAGGGTTGCCCAATTGGCTGCCTGCAGTGCCAATTATTGTGGGCCGTGAAAGGTTATTAGTCAAGCGTGAATCCCTTGCATGGGGGAAAACATTGTGCACCTAGTGCTCACGCTTTGCAGGGTCCCCCCCCCCCCTCCATATCACACGTTTCCATCCCACCCTGTTTCAGAGTGGCCGAGCAAACTGGAGAGATCAACAGTACGGGAAAGTCAATTGTGGATCGCCCGAGTAATGAAAATATGATCCGCAACCATATTAAAGGTGTCAGTTGTGGCCCTTGAGGCCTAGCAAGTTGGACACCCCTGATCTAGCTAGATGAACATGGTTAAAAGCAGAATATGTGCGACTTGTGACAAGTTCCATAATCCACTTCTGTCTACAAGTAAACAATGTGTTTACTTTGTGTGTAATCTATGTAGATAAAGATAATCTATCTTCTTTGTCAGGGGGAGGGAGTTTGGTGATTTATGAACTTGTGGTCATGGATCTGCGCAATTCTTCAGGGTTCAGCGCAGACGTATATTTTCAAAATAAAGACAGATATAGAACAGAATTGCACAAAACCAAAACATCCTTACTTTATTAGTGAAAATCAACCAACAATGAATAAGAAACGTAAATCATTGTTAATTCAATAATGTTTGATGAACACTGAAGGATTTTTGGTTGATTTTTTACTTGATAAGGAGTGATGGTTCTTCTGAAATTCTGTTCTATCTTACTATATTTTTTAAAGAGGGTAAATATGTTGTCAAGTTACATATTAAATCAAGTTTCATGTTATATGATGTTACAAGCTGATTTTTTTTTTATATTTGTGTTTTTATTCAGCAATAAATTTTTATATTCTTTGACTTTTCATTTCACACATTTTTTTAAAAGTTATGTACCATATTAATTATTACATCATTTTTTCCAATATTTTTCAGCACTTACTGGTTCTGCAAATTTGGCTGATGAAGAATACCTGTAATATATTTTCATACTTCGATTGACTTGCTGAATCAAAAGTCAATTTTCAAATATATAAGTGCAAACTAATATTATTACTTATTATAACCTGTTTTGGATTATTTGATGGGAAATATTCAATGGTTTACATAGATTACATCATCTACATAGTCTATATGTAAAGGTCTTGAACACTACAAGTAGATTATATGTCAAAAACAAGCAAAGCTCTTAAATTATAATCCACAGCACATCCCTGGTTAAAAGTACTGCAGTATACTAATTTGTAACATATTTTTCAGAAAGTGTTTATAGCAAAACATGAGTTACTGGAAGCTTGTGAAACTGATGTCAAATTGTTTTTGAACATCAAATGTCTAATACTCCTACATTTATCTTCCAGAGACTTTACTTAGAATGTTAGTAACACAATTCTTTTGGTGGATTGAATACAGGATGTAACAAATACCTGTGCTGTTCTGGTGCTAGTGTTAGTTCAACGACCCGGGAACTTAGCTCCCTCTGTGATGGAAATTGTAGAAAATGGGTGTGTCACTTATTTGAAAATATGAATATAATATCAAAATGTATTATCATACATTCATGAAATTTACAGACCAAATGGAAGATGAAAAGGGAATATAGAATACGTCAAAAATTCAATTTATTTTATTTTGTGGGTTAGCTCCCTCTCTCACTGAATGTCTCAATTAGCAAGGAGCTTGCCTCTCACTATGACATGGTTTTAACAGACCCTCCATCAATCCTTTCTATCAAACAGGAAAATGGAGAACTCTGATTTTTCAGGTGATGTGGAAGAAAGTTTTATTGCCACTTTCTCTATGGATAAGAATTAAATTGGATTGCACAATTGAGAGCACAATTGAAAAATAACTCCAATGCACCAAGTCCAGATACATAACCTGATGTCAAATCATCTGCCAGAAAAAGCAAGACAATTCTTCCTTATTACTTTGAACTGAATCTGACGCAAGTATGCATTCTGAAAATATGGTGGGAAGCAACCATCAACCTGAATCCTAAGGAAGAGAAAGATCAATAACTACCATGAAATTACCTTCCAATATCTTTAACAAGTTGTTATGATTCAGTTTTTGAATACACAGTTAACCACAGTCTGGTCTGGCCTTTGGAGTCAAGGAGTTTGCGAACTCCAATCTAATATGTATTAAGTAAGCAGTGATCAACCCTGCATAATTCAGTCACATTAGCAAAACAGTTTTCTCTCCTCTTTTGCATTGAGACACGTGGTAGCTATTTTCTTTAATACTGAAAACACTTGACTGTGACATCATCTGGGAGGCATGACATTCTGTCTATTTTACACTCATGGAGTTTTACGGTGCAAGTCTTCAAAAACTTTAGACCGACCACTTTCATTTCTTGTATGTCTCGATGATATGTATTTATGCAGTAAAATAAAAAATCACCAAAAATGGTCCATTATTGCTAGACATCAGGTGTTTAGGAAAGTTTCCATTATATCATATGCTTATGAAAGGTTTTCAGAATATGAGTGTGAATTATGAAAAATGAGACATTTTGACAAAATTCTATTTTAGTCTTTGATGTAATTTTTTTTTTTTCAAATTAAATCAAATTTTAGTACTCCCAATACTTTTCTATCACTAACAAAACTCTATTTCCATGTGTAGACTCAATATGCTATTTGAGTATGTATGAAACATTCAAAGTCTTCGAGCACAAAACCGCCCTTTTCTCGCACTTCTCTTCACAATTAAAAAGAAGTGATGGGTGTTGGGTGAGTGTAGAGCCCAGACACAACACAAGCACTCATGTGTTACGTGTAAGTCGATAACCCCAACTGACTGAAAATTTGGTGTAGTGTAGTGACAATTTTCCTGAAAGTCTTCTCTTAATAGTAGTAAATTATGAAAATTGCTACTTAGGGGCTGGTAAATGGTCAAGGAGTAGAGTGGTCTGTTAACAGGAGAATGATTTGCCTAGAGCGGGGTTGTCCAACTGGTATCCTGCGCTGCCATTTATTGTGGCCTCCAAAAGGTTATTAGTAAAAAATGGGAGTCCTGTGCAACCATGTCGAGTGAGAACATAGTGTCCCTAGCACATGCGCCCTGCTGCAATCAACATTCCCTGTAATTTAAAAATAGGTGAAGTTTATATTTAAGGAGTTTTTTTACTGATGAATTCAGAAATTAAAAACCATCCCAAGTTGATTCACTGCATTATGCATGGTATTACATGATATCACGCATACTGCATGCGTGAATCCAATCTAAAGGCCATTGACTAACTCCTTAGTCAGACAGTTCTGCTGTAAAGTTTTGACAGGTTATGAATTGCATTTTCTAGTGTAGTTTGCTTTGTTTGATTCAGCAAGGATAGAAAGTGAGTTTCTCGACTAAGAAAATGAGTGACAAGTCAAGGATGAGTTATTATTAACTCAGAGCAGGCAAATCATCCTAAATAACATGTTTAAATTATATATTGTGATTTATGATAATTAAAAATTTTAAAGGTAACATAGCAAATTGGAACATCTAGATTTGATTTATGTTTCTAGTACCTTCACAACATTGACTAAGCAGCCATCTCTATTAACAGCCAATTTTTGCCAGAAACAATTGGTGGCCACTTAAGTAATTACTGTAATATATTTTCAGAACTGAAAGAGGATATAAATATAGGAATATCATAAGGCTTCTTTCTTGTTTTTTCTTATGGAAACTTTCAGCAAGTTCACATTACCCAGTGAACTCCACTCGATACAGCACTATCTCCTTGGCCAACCTGATCATGGTGTCATAAAATCTGGGTTCCCAATGTTCCTAAATGCTAGTTGCTGATGCTGCTAAATGCCAGTAACTGATGTAACTGGTTGACTTCTTAAATTAAGTGACAGAAAAATCAGTTTTGTTAGGGTAGTGGTTTAGTTTTAGTGTGTATGTATTCTGTTATTGTCACCCCACAAAAATGAAGAAAGCCATTTATCTAATTAGAAAGCTTAAGTAACCCGTTTGTATTAATATTTTTTAAAAATTAGAATTTCAAATAAAAAATGTTGGAAAAATTGTTTGATGGCACATGTATTTGAACCGCTAGGTGGATGAGTTTAGGGAAAAAGGAACTAATTGAAAAATGTGTATTTTGAATCAAAATAATTCTCAACAATTTTACTCTAATTCATTAGGGGGTGGTAATTCTATCTTACCATACTACCTTTTTCCCCTAGAGTACAAGAATTTTCTGTAAATATCAGAGCTTTCTTCCCTATACGAGAAGCATTTTCAGCTGAAATTTCATGTCAAAATTGTGAAAATATGAATTGTGACGTGACGGAAGAAAATCAGATGCAGACACTTGATTACCAAACCATTTGTATCTAAAACCATTTGTATCTAATAACATCTATTACCTGGAAAATAGCTCTCAGCAAGTTTTACCTTGTAGAACAGTGTCCAAACACAAATTTACAGCCCTTGAAAACAGCAAATAACAGACATGGTTGAAGTTCGTAAACCAAGACAATAGTCGAGGTATATAATACATCAAGTCTGTCATTTGTGTGTCATACAATACTTTTCATAATACCATCTTGTTATGAGATAAATGTCATATAAACAAGAAATACCATTATTGAAATAAGAGAACTTGTATGCCATCTTTAAATCAACTCACTTGTTTCAGTTGTTCTTAAGGGATGGAAAATTGTTATAGTAATTTACGTCATTAAGAACAGAAAATGATACATTATGAGTGAGATGTTTCTGGCTAAGGTAATGGTAGGAGCTGAAGATGGAATTTCTAACCAGTAATGTAACATTTCTGTGTGTCATAAGATATTTTGATTCATACTATGTCACATTTCCTTACTATTATTTTAATTTCATTTTGCAATATTTCACAATCTACGAGTGCCAGTAAAGAATTGTCCACGGCACTAGTGCCCCCCAGAATATTCCTGTCTGTGAAACAATTGCAGTGCTCTGAACATTTTAAAATGGAATTCAAAGATAAAGAGATAATTTGGAAATCAATAATAGATGAATTGAATGAAGACTTTGTTCTCTATTTTGTCATCATATGGTACTGTTATCTACATTTTTCTAGCATGATTGAAAGTTTCCTTCTTATTATTGTATTCAGTAGACATAGGATGTTAAGACACTAAAAACTTACATTTAAGGCACCTAAAAGGCACTAAAGTTTTTTTAAATGGGCACTGAAAAAGGCATTAAAAACTTAAAATTGGAGAGGAAAAACAGGAATATATTTCATTGCACTTGCATCTAAAATTAACCAATATCAAAAAACAATATAGCATGAGAGAATAGACTATTAATGAATTATTAGTGATTGAGTGACTTTGGCATCTTTACATGATTGAACTCGGTTACTACACTTAGAGGCATTGATGAAGTACTTTGCATGGTGCACAACTCAGACAATTGCGAGCAGAATGAAGACGCATCTTACGCCCGGCAAAGATGGGCTTACTGCGCACTTCCCAGAACATCTGGCATGGAAAGATATCAATGCCTTCTGAGACACTAGTACTTTGATTACATCATAACTTGAACTCATCATAATTAGTGGTGCTTAACGCTCACATATGCACCCTCCGCTCAACCAAGTGTCCAGATATCACAGCTTTTTATTTTATTTTATTTGGGCAAAGAAATGCAGAAAAAGAAATCTGAAGCCACAATGCAAGCTTTTCGGTTTCGAAAATTCAGTGATCTGCAAACTGAAATGACAGCTTCAGTGGAGACAAACACTGGAGATGTGTTACCAGTATAAAATTTCTGTGATTAGAAGAGCTTAAAATGATTTAAACTTGTGTTTGTAACCAAGAATAAAAAGAAATATATATAAATTTTAAGACACAAGCATTTAAAAAGAAAAATATGCCTAAATAGGCATTTATGTCACAAAAGACCTAAAAGAAAAATGAAAATCCTTCAGAATGTTCAGTTTTCCATAATTCATATACATACATTAACTGTCTTGAAATATTTTCATTAGAATAAAATAGGCATTTTCCTAAGCATTGGATGCAATAAGTGATTATAAGAGAACGATAAAAAAAACAATGTTCATGGTGTGTTTTTATTGTTAGAAACAACAGTGCGCTTTTAAACACATAGGAGGGAAAGCGATTGTGCTATTTGATTGAGAAAAGATGGAAAGCCTACCTGCGAGTGTAGTGAGACGGGAGTTTGTTGATGAACCTCGGGGCTTGATGCACCTCCAGCATGACCGAGGCCACTTCCCCGTGCCCCATTTCGTTGGTGGCCTGGCAGTGGTACTGGCCCTCGTTGCCCAGCTGCGCCGGGTTGATGACGTACTGCGCGCCGGTGGCGAGCACCTGCGTGGCGGCGGAGGAGCCGGCGGAGAAGACGCCGTCGCCGTCGCGCCACCAGCGGAAGAGCGGCGCGGGCCAGCCGGGGGGGCTGGCGGCGCACGTGAGCGTCACCGTCGCCCCCTCCGACACCACGGGCTTGTCCGGGCTGATGACGGCACGCCCGGGCTTGTGGCGCACCAGCAGCGCGAACGAGGCGTTGCCCACCTTCTCCACGGGGTGGCCCTGCGCGCTGGGGTTGAGCACGTTCACCGCCCTGCACGTGTACGAGCCCACGTCCTCGGCGCTGACGCGGCCGATGAGCAGTTGGTTGCCCGTTTGCCGGAAGTCCGGCCGGTCCTCCCGCAGCCACTCCACGGTGACCGGCGGCGGGTTGGCGGAGACGTTGCACCTCACCACCAGCGTCTCTCCCTCCTCCGCCTCGCGGTGGTTGGACGCCCCCGACCCGTTGTCGACGGTCACCTCGGGCGGGTACAGCACCTCGAGCGACAGCTCCGCCTCGCCCGCCTGGCCCAGGCCGTTGTCGGCGCTGCACACGTACGTGCCGGCGTCCTTGACGGCCACGCGCGAGATGGTGTGCTGCAGCGCCGTGGCCACGAAGCGGCCGTTGCGGCTCCAGCGCACCGAGCTCACTTTCGGCTTCGCGTCCACGGCGCACTGCAACGTGACGGGCGCGTCGCGCTCCACGCGCAGCGGGTTCTCCGGGCCCACCTTCACTCGCGGGAAGTCTGCAACACGCGCGCGCGCCCACGCGCACGCCGCTCTCAGTTTTGTTGGAACGCGCTTTCCGGCCAGCGGGCGCGTCTCCCGAGCGATCGTTGAGAACGAAAATCAGGGCGAAAGAAAAAGGGAGAGCGTGGAGATCAAAATCGGAAGGAGGAATTATCGAACAAAATGAATTAAAAACAAGATGACTACATAAATATTTATTAATGTGTGTGCGAAATGAGAGAAAGCAGTGTATGATGTAACTTAAAGTTCATTGTCCCTTGATTAAAAAAAAAAAACATCTCGGCGTATCCTGGCCTCACAATGACACGATTCTTTTTTGCCGGAAATGACGTTATGCTATGTCCGAAATCTCTATTAACAGGTCAACGACGTACTTTTCAGACTCGTATAAAACCTATTAACAAAATGACATTACTTTTTGCGTATTATTATAACACACCTTCAAACTTTCAAAAAAGGGGAAATTTACAAAAACCCAATTTCGATTTGAAACAAAATTTCGATTTGCAATGCGTAATCATCCATGGCTTTCAGATGTAGGTCTGTCGCCCATTGTTTGATCATTACATTTTTACGAAATTTTGATTATTTTCATTGCATAAGAAATATAAGAATGAATTTTCCAACGCGAAGGGTCAAATAACAGAACACGCAATGCAGATCATTATCATCGGTTATATTACGCTGAGCGAATGGCTTTCGTATTATTTCTTCCACAAGGCAACCCGCTTAACGTTTCTGTGTTCCAAAAGTTCGTGTTGCAGCGACCCCTGAAATTATCATGCGACATTTACATTAGCAGGGATACATTGGAGAAGAAAGAAATAGGAGGGAAAGGGGAAGAGAATATGAGAGAGAAAGAAGTAGAAAAAAGATAGAGAATAAATAGAAACAAAGGCGAAGGAGAGGCGAAGAAGATGGGGATGACAGACAAGATAGAGAAGGATGAGAAGAATGAGGGGGGGGGGAGAAAGAAAAAAAGAAAGAGACAGAGAAAGAATAGATCTGATAGCCTAATTCTGTATTTACGTAACCAATCATGTTTTGTACACATTTTTAATTCTTGGTTGTGAAGCGTATGAACGGGGCTAACAGTTAGGAGGTATAATAACTTTTGACTATGACACCGTTTCAGAGCCCTGATTGGCTTGCAAATTGATGAGGAAATCCTTCTGATTGGTTGAATATTCAGGCGCTTGATTTAAAATACATGTCTCTAAGACTAATGTAGGTATTTCTGCTGCAATAGAAGAATGACGACTTCGCCCTTCATGAAATCCAAATTTGAATCCGCGAGCTGTCGACCCAGTACATTACACCAATTTTCGGAATACACGTGCAGAATCGAAATGTCTTTCCATACTGCGCATATTTGAAGCGCGATAAACAAGGTAGAGAAAAAGGAGGAGGGAGGAGAAGGAAAATGAAAGCGGAAGAGAAGAAGAGGAGGAAGAGAAAAGGAGGAAGAAGAAGAAGAAGAAGAAGAAGAAGAAGAAGAAGAAGAAGAAGAAAGAAAATCGCCTCCTTTAATGTTAAGATAATTATATTTACATTACATTAACATTTATCTGTGACACAACACGAAACATGAAGAATTGTCCATGTTTTCCTTCTTGTACTGTCACGTAACGTAATAAAACATTGTTTGATACTATTCATTCACAAGTTGTTATTTATTTGCTTAGACAGAAATAAAGAAAGCTATTTTACCCCTTTTGACATTCAAAACGACTGTTTAATGACGTGCTCGCACGGGTGCAGCTAGTAGTTGCAATAGAGACAAAATTTAAAATGGGGTCATTGAATTTTAATTAAACTGCGGGTCCTAAATGAGGTTTCTTAATAAAGTATACAATGGAGACACTGCATGTCGTACAAAAAGTTACAAAATCTATATTACATATTTTAAAATACTAGTGAATGAAAAAGACGATGATTTAGAAATGATTTCGACTTCTCTTATGGCTATGATAATGTAAAAATTCTATAAAGGGATGTCCCTTTACCATGAACAATTACCAGGGTTTTTGGCTTCCAAACCCATATTAAGCGATAAGCGACAAGCCTTCGACGTCCGAGCTTGAAATTGAAAATTAAACATCTCCGCAGCGCGAATAGTTTTCCTAGGATTGCTCGTCAACGTTTTCTTTTCTGTAAGGATCACGCAACTTCTATTCGTTCACAGCGTCGGAAGAGTGCGGATCCGGTCGGCGCAAGATTGCGGGATACGTGAAGTACTCGACGGAGTCAGTACCGTGGAAATGACTGGTGAGAACATAATTTATTTCAACCTCTCCTATTTACTCGTAATATTAATTTATTTTACTTTATTAGTTTAGTGTCCCAGTGCAATAGGGGGAGCAGTGCATTCGGAGAATGATTTCGTGGCGCAGTGACGGCCCGGTGTCGACGGGGTGAGGGCAAACTAAAGTAGCTGGATCAAAGTGATTCGTCGTCAATGGACAGCTCCTACACCGCACCACCAATGCACCAAAAGGCTGGATAGGAGCTCACGCGGTTCGACAAGAAGGCCCACTTCCGTTAATTAAAAAAAAATGTTTACGTCAAAACAGTTAAAAACTGTGTGTGACGTGCTGTGGGGAGAAGTTAATTTGAAGTTATGAACTGTAAGTTACTATACTGTAAGTTATGAAGAAGTTTATGTGCTGTGCATGCATTTCTTTCTTTTCATTATTATTATTATTATTATTATTATTATTATTATTATTATTATTATTATTATATTTAATTGAGCGTCAAAAACTGTGTGACGCACTACGGAAAGAAAAGTGTTACGGGGCGCATGTCGTATGAAGCGCGTTAAATGCCAAAGGCGGCCTCGTGCCGCTACTCACAGTTGACGTTGAGCGTGACGTTGGTGACGAGGTGCGAGCCGTCGGAGAGCGCGCGGTTCCACACCACGCAGCGGTAGGCGGCGCCGTCGTCCCCGCGCGCCGGCGTCACCCGCAGCACGGCGGCCGTGGGCGCGTCGCGCGAGTTGCCTGGCCGCAGCTCGGCGTCCAGCGGGTACTCGCTGCCGGCCTTGTACCACCTGCGACAGCGCGCGCCGCCGTCAGGGCCTCGCCCCGCCAACCACCTCAGCTACTCACAGCTTACCAACTACTTACAAAGGGGAAGCGGCTATTCCAATTACAAGAAACAAATATACTGGGCGATAGTCAATACCCCATCGGTACGCTTTGAGCAGACCATGCCACTTTTTTAAAACCTATCTGTTGCTGTATATTACATCTCATTACAATGATACACCTTCTGTTTTATTTATATACAATCTCAATACCAGTATGAAAGTTTCAGTAAATTAGATTTTCATTATTTTTAGTTTCAACTACAAATACTGCAATTTGGCTTTGAAACAAGAGAAAACTATTTTACTATGTGAAACTTCAATAACGCCAGTTTTAACTAGTAAACAGTTTTTTACGAAAGGACTTTCATGCAACTAATTTTTTTATTAACGTTATACTATTTTTAACTGATTTTGGGCTCTGACGGTTCTTTTCCCAAGAACATCAGGCGCTTAGTGGCGAAATATACGAGAATTAATTGTGAATCAATACCCGCACTGGCGCAACATACGGTTTCATTTTTTTTAAATACAAAATTTCACAATTTTATAATGAAACTATCACAATTCATTACTAGTAAACGAAGTCAGAACTATTATCATTACATTTACCCTACTTGAAGCACTTTTCTGAAAATAGAACGATAATGGCCGAATTAGCAAATTATGCTTTGCGTCGAAGTCAGAAATTCTAAAGAACTAATGCGATAATATACAGAGCGAGTCACGTCACAGCCATTTTGGAACGATTCAAGATATAATGAAGTTTTTCCGACGCGCGTGAGGTAGTGTGGGACGGGTGGAAGGGGTTAAGTGAAGCAGATTTGATCGAACCCTGGGTGTAAGATGTCGGGTTTCGGCGCAACGTTGCGTCCAGAAATACGCATGTTTCATGTTAGGTCGTCATTCACACGCTTACTCGAGTCTAACGGGCAGCTGCTATTTCAGGCTGAGAGGGTACGGCAGAACAGCACGGAGATGTAAAATAAATCATTTCAGCGACCGACTTCATCAATCTTAATAAGAATGAAGAAATAACTGAATGTTGAATTATAATGTATAATAAATTATAATGTTTCATTTTCTAGCACCATTGTGGCCTTCTCCTCCTCAAATATGACGCACTATGGCGAATTCGGGTACAATGTTAAATTCCACACTACCCATCTCAGACTGAAATAGTATAAAGACTCAGTGAACGTTTGTGTGCAGACCTTCAAGGGGGATAGACGCGTATCTAGATAATGCTTAGCGCCACGTCCCGAGCTCTTACACCTACGATTCACTGTCTAAAACTGCTTTCTTAACCTCTCTGTCATCGTATGTGTTTTGCGTTTTTAGATTATTTTTTTTTTCTAACTGCACATGCCATCTGTGTATTAAGTAGTAAGCCCTTGGGATGGATAAAAATATTCCGAAACGTTAGCAAACTGATGTTTTAGTATCTTAATTCACTCCGACCAAATCCCATGACCTACATTTTCCATATCTACTTCATGGTCGTGAATCCACAATGGTTGATTTTATTTTACTTTATTTGTACAGGGAGATTTGCAGAAAGCTCTAGAGCTTTACATTTTTCAAAACTATTATGCTCGTTTCCATGAACTTCAACACCGAAATTTTATGTGAAATATTCTGGAGAACAAGAAACGAAATTCACAATGCATTTCGAATATTTCAGTTATACGACTTGATTTGTTTAATCTTATGCTCACAATACCAAAAATGCATTTGCATTAAAAGTAGAATATAAGGAGTCATTGGCACTGCACGTGCCTTCCCCTTATTTAAGGTAGTCCCTACTTAAATAAATCGATGAAGCACTGAAGGTGCTTTACGTGAACTCCACCCGGGGGACGAGGGGGTGAACTTACTTGATGTCGGGGTCGGGGCTACCGCCCGTGCTGGAGCACGTGAGTTCGGCGCTCTTGCCCTCCGTGAGCGTGGGCGTGGGGCCGGGCAGCACGCGCGGCGCGCCGGGCGGCGTCAATACCGTCAGCGCGAACGCCTGCGAGTGCAGGTCCTGGCCCGAGCCCGCCTCCTTCACGTAGCACGCGAAGAGGCCGTTGTCGCGCTCGTAGCTGGCGTTGCTGATGAGCAGGTCGTAGCGGCCCTGCTCCGGCTTGAAATCCACTCGATAATAGGCGTCGAGCGGGTTTTGCTGGATGGCCACGTTGTCGTGCTGGTTGTGCTTGTTGTTGCGCACCCAGAAGAAGGTCGGCGCAAGCGCGCCCACCTGGGGCGGAAATCGGCATTTCAGGGTTACGTCTTCGCCCTCGCGGGTGTCTTCGGCGTCCTCGGCGGGGATGACAGGCAGCAGCAATCCTGTGGACACGAAGGCGATCCGATTAAGGACGGTTCCATCGTGAATTTTTAAGGGCTAAATTCATGACGATTATTTGAACAAATTAAGGAGTTAACTATGCTGTCCGTGTTAACTATTTTTATGTATTTTTTCTCAAAACGTATTGATTTATTTTCTTGACACTGGTAAAAAGAACATGTTCTACACGCACTGTAAAAATTTATAATAATTGCATTTAAAATAAAAAAAATATGGCAAAGAAATGCTAAAGAATTAATTCAAAAATGTATATTAACCTTGGTATAACTTTACAATTTGTACTCTTATAATAATAAATCTGTTACAATAGTTTTAATGTTGATATTGCAACTAACTGTATTACTTATAATAATTTATAGTTTAAATAATAATAATTTCAAGAGTAGTTCAGACAAAAAAAAAACATTTATCAAAAAGGATTTTTCTTCTCTTTTTTTTCAAACAAGCTTTGAAGTTCTACAAATGTACGAAACGCACGAAGATACTTACAAACATTGAAATACAGCGCTGACATGCATGTAATGTCGGAAATAAACGTCTTGAAAAACGTACAGTAACCCAGTCTTCAAAATGAATTCGTTCAAAAGTTATACTCGTTTGAAGCCCTGGGAGTCAAACTCGGCAGCCATTTTGGCAGGTGCAGACAAAGAAATAAATTTATAAATAAGCCTGTGCTTTTATAAGCTACTCCATAAATTTTACATCAAATTCTCAAAAACCGTTATTATTTTAATAAAACTGAAAAGAAAACTATGTCAAATTTTAACCCGTGCACCGCATCGGAGTCCCCGGTGTCAGGGGCCACAAATAAAGACCCCGCCGACACCCAATAAAGATTGGGTTCCTGATGAAAGTATTTTTAAAGATATCCCACGGTAATAAATTCTATGACAAATTACATGTCAACCGCATATTTAATTAACGGTATTTTTTATAATTGACACGGACAGTGCGCGATCTTTCTTATCCTCTTCTCTCCTCTTACCTATATACACTTGCATTTACATGCCCTACACTGCCACACTTGTCGGAAGACCAGACGGGAACTTAGAGCTTGTCCCGGCTGGGGAGGTGCCCTGGTGGGAGATACCAGGATGAGGGAAAACCAAATAGCTTGTCGGCACCAGATCCCACCATCCAGTTGGTGAAAAACATCACCGCCACCCGTGATAAAAATGCACTACACTAACGGAACTAATGACTATAGCAGTTGCCATTGTGTTACGTTCTACAACTACTAAAAAAAATGTGTTTATTGCGGAGTTTGTAACCTAGTACACCTTCGTGGTTAGTCAACCGTCAACATGTTACTGAATATTACTAGCTGCCAGGTTTTCGCCCACGCAAAGCAGGCTTGCAAAAGTCCTGCATCCGCGGGCATTTGACATTCAGATGCACGAGTGCTTTGGACGCTAGCGGACGAAGAGCAATGGTGCGGCGGCTTCGCGATGCGGTTAACCAACTACGCTGGTCGACAGCACATTTGGAACATTTGGCCGAGTGCTGTTGGCATAAGAATATGGCAACACTTAGTGACGATTATTTTCACAACAATGTACAATACATTTCAAAGTGTTCTTGGCATTACATTATAATAAAGGCAGGTATATTGTTTAGTGAATCGTTAAAAATAATTGCAAACATGTTTCGCAGCTTATCAACTTTGAATAACAACAGTGCCAGATAATTCTTGACGCTACTTGCCGTCAAAAATTCAAATAAACATCATTAATATTGTAGTGTGTAAGTACAAAGAGCAACACAAAAGCCAATGTTACAGTTTTATTCAATTTCAATTGCATTTTAATACTTTCTTTACTATGTTTTTTCGTAGGTCATAATTACCTTGCAACTCATGTTTTTCAAATTTCCTGTTTAACTATCACATATGAATTCTATTATTTCTTATTTTGATTCTACTTTGCATACTCTGTCACAAATCTTTCTTAATCATTCCCCATCATTATCAGAATCTTGTGAATCTCAACAATGAACTTCAAATTCCTTGGACGACTATTTACACGAGAAGTTCCGCTGCGTGAAAGTAGCTGATCCCTGAAGAAACGAAATCGAATGCTCGTCCGCCCTACAAAATGAGGCTCATCGCTCCTATTCCTTTCTGCCTGAGACTGCACTTGAGTAGCACTCGATGGCTTAATTGATTTGTTCGCGTTTACGATCGCGTCAATCTGTTGTTAGTTGCTGTTAGTGCAGTTAATCCCGTAAGTGTGGTGAATGTTTTATCCAAGGAGGTGACGACGTTCCTCTTCGCTACAATGTAGAATCTGCCGCAGACACACATGTGAGTTGATTCCATCTGAATTTCCCCTCCACGTATCTTTACCAGCGGGAAACCGCCCCAGCCAGAACAAACTCTCACGGGCCATTCACAAATTAGGTAACCCTAAGGGGTGATGGGTTTGAGGCAGCGTTCGGCCGTATTACGTAGAGGTATAAAGAGTTAGTGTAGTGTTACATAACGTATTTTTAAAATTTTCAATATTTACATTCAGTAAATTTTCAATCAGTATCACACTAACATTACAACACATTAATTGTATTTAAAATTATATAAATAAATTAAAACGTTATGATGTTATAATATATGGAAATATCTTTGGCACATAAACAGAATCTGCTACGATTACGAAGAAAGTATTCGAAACTGTCATACGGTTAAATTAGATCCACAATATTTTTTGCACTTTTGTAGAAAGATATATTATGTCTTTTTGGTAGAGAGTTTTTTTTTTAGAAGAAACTAGCAAAACGCAAGAAAGAGGATCAGTGATCCTCTCAAATTCTATAGTAAACTGCACCTCCGACAATTCCTGATACTCCTTGGGAGTCATTGTCAGTTTTCAACGCATTGCGTTGTTTCAAGGTACAATTGGAGGTGGCGTTACAATGAAATTCACATATGCTTCCGTCTCCTTTATTCACATAAATCGATGAGGGAGGGATGTTGACGCTAGAGTTACGTAATTGTGGGAGGGGGCCAAGCGTTACAGCGTTACAAATGAGAGGGAGTATACAAAAAAACTCCCAATTTGCGTTACGTAATTAATGGACGATCCCTTATTTTCCTACATATGTGGTACGGTAAAGAACAAGCGTGTGTGCGTGCGTGTCTGCTTGTGCGAGTGAAATGAAAAAGGAGTCAAGATTTCAGAAGGAAAGATCGCACGTGCCCGTTTGTAAAGGTTCTGCTTTGGCAATCGCTTAATATTGATTGGAGGAAAATATCGGCTTAAGTGACTCAAGTCATCAACTGATGTCGCTGCAATGCCTCTGGCCGCGAGGTCCTAAGGTTCGAGTCCCGACGGTGGTAGGATTTTCGACACTACCTACACAGCAAGGCCAAATTCAGCCGCTTTTTGAAGGATCATCCTCCAGGCAAATATCGGCGCGGTACGCTGGCAATCGGGCCGTTAACCGCCCGCGATCTTTCCTTCCCCTTCCTTGCACTATCCTCACCCTTTACTTACATGCCCTACAAGCCCATACATGTCGGGAGCTTAGAACGTACCTGGCTGGGGCTGTGCCCCGCAGGTGGGAGATGCCTGGTTGGGGAAAACGCCGCAAGCCAACATGAAGGTAGGCGTCGGATCTCGCCATCCAGCGGCGGAACATCACCGCGATAAAAACATACATTACACTTACGGGACTGATGATCACGGCTGTTCACGCTCCCGGAATCACTAATCAATCAATCGGAGGAAAATAACCGATCAGATCAGCTGGCTGCAAGATTTCTCCCCCAGACAACGCACGTATTCGACTTCGCTGTCTAGCTAGTGTAAAAAATCAGCAACTGTCCAGGCTGTACACTAGAACCTCTCGGTGAAAGACCCGGCAGTGGCAACTGTTATTGCCCTAAGCTAACTAAGCCTATAGTAGCACTAGACCCGCTCCCAAGAACACTGAGCAAACGTCGTTCTTTCTTTCTTGCGGAGGCTTTTTCCAGCATCAGTGGATGCCAGTTTTCTACTATCCGTGCCGGGTACCCACTATGTCCCTCATGGGGACACATATTGACCTTTACTAACACAGTTGCGAGCTCCTCGGTCTGTGCCCAGCAGACTCGGCACACAACGCCTTCCGCGACAGCACACATACATGTAAGGCAAGGGACAAAGAACCATGCCCATGGCAGGACTCGAACCCGCGCCCTTCTGACCGAGGCGCGAGGTCGACAGAGCACTGTGCAAAGCTGACTTCAAAAATACTCATTCTGACTCTACAAGAGACGTCTATGAAATATGAACTTCTTTAAGTTTTAACTGGTTTTAAGAATCAGTTATTGCTTCGGAATAATTTACACAGTAAGTGTTAACAATGGTTTCGACTCTAATGGTGTAATTTCCAAAACATGGAAACTTTGCAGCATCGCACCGTCACATACTCGTATTTCGTGATGAATTGAATTCAATTGAATTGAATTAATGCCTTATTTTATGTGGCGAGACTCGGGCCATCAGGCCCGCTCTTCCGTCTGACCACGCAAATTTTTCTATGCTTCTTTCACAAACTAGCAGAGGAAGGAGGTATTTCTTGGGCGAGAAACAGGCAATTGTGAATTTAGCTCAGAGGCGTCATTTAGGCTTGATGATCTTTTACATGCAAGTAAATCTACTAACATGGGACAGCCGGCTTTACTTCCCCTCCGAAGGAAGGCGTACGGAGGATTTTTTCACCCTTAAAAATCCACGGCTTCGATCGGGTTTGAACCCGCCTACTTGGGTATATGTCCTGTCTCCCATCAATGTCGCCGTGGGGGGGGGGGGGGCAGAAGGGTTGGGGCAGATGTCACGGCAACTATATTTTTTTCCTAAAAGAAATGTTATAGAATTGCACAATTTCATTTGTAGCCTGAAAGAAATGCTGCAGTACGGTGTGTTCACATCCAGAGATGGCAATGTGAGTGTCTCCAATAGCACAGAGAGCAACGTGAAATCAGTCGATCAGATTACCGCCGTGC